GTTCGTAACACATGTTGTGTTGCGAACAGCCTGTTTATTCATCTGGCCTCATTCTCTTTCGTGTACCGCTTTAGGCAGCTGGACAAGGCTTGGAGCCTTTGTTTGGCAGTTTCGAGTGCTTCAGGTATGGTCATCTGGATGTACCTCTCGGGTATCGACCTTTTCATCACACCTCTCTGGGCCTCCGTCAGTTGACTCACATCTTTCCGAGCCGCCTTGATCGTAGCCTCCAACCGTCTTTTCCATGGTGGGTAACGTATCTCATGGCTCCCATGGTTGCTCCTATAGCCAAGCATCTCTAGGATCACTGATGGTGACGCATATATCAGCTCATTGGTTTCCGTGATCGTTACGGTAGGGATCGCCCTCAGTGCTGCATTCACACTTTCCGTGAGACTTTCAGGTGGTACTTCACATAGCCGTTGTAATCGGTTTCTAGGTTGCCCAGCTTTCATTCTCGCCATGATCTTAGCTTTCGGGTCAGTTGCTGCCTCGCTCAGCATTTCATTCATTGGGGCTGGCCTCCCAATCTCATCATCTGCATTCATTGGGGCTTGCCTCCCAATCTCTGGTATGACCTCCTCCTCTGATCTGGCAGCCTGGGGCCCTTCACCATGGAACCTGCGTTGTACCTCATCAATCTCAAGTTGTGACAGCAGTTGCCATTTGTGGATGTTGGAACACTGAGCTACTAGTTGTTTCGTGGTCAACCGTGACTGTGGGTTTCGAAGTAACCATTTAGCCCACATTCTCTGCATGTAACCCCTCTGACTAGGGTTGCTTGAGTAGTAGCATTCCAACAGAGCCATGTTCTCGCATCTCGCCCATCTCCGCTTTGTTCCAGTAGCCCATTTTTCATCAAGGTGCTCTGGTTCCCCATCAAGTGACGCAGACCTTGTTTGGCCGGGCGACGTCTGAGCATGTCATTCGTTTAATTGTCTCTCATCATTGTATGAGGTAGGCATTAGCGTGAAGGGTCTTGCCCAAGGACCCACATTGGATGGTGTTATGTGCTCATTTTTGCCCCAAGCGGGATTCGAACCACCGTCTCCCGTACGCCAAACCGATGCCTTACCAACTGGTAATATATATATGGTTAATTGTCAATAACTCAGGACAGATATTTAACACTTTCTTTTTCTATGTAGTACAGTGCAATTTATAAGTCACCGAACAACAAGAAAATGATCCTCAGATTCAACCAGGTGATTGAAACTCATTCACTCCCAAAGACGTTTTTAAATGTCTTTTCAGACTTGGTCCAGAATTGGCTCGTACTGAATGAGTTCACTGATGGATTCCAGCCTTGAATTAAACAATATTGACACATTTGAATTCACCTTTACCATGACACTATGTTGCAACTGACAACACTGTTTATTTTTTAGTGTGAAGACCGGCATTGTGTGTTGTTTACCAATGAATCATAGTCAGGTGTGTAACTTGACACTGTAACTCTGAGTGAATCTTCCAGATGTACATCAGTGACCCGTGTTCTGTGTTTGTTTTTGATAAAGGTCAAAAAAGAAAAATGCAGACTCACATAGATGGGTTGAACCAAACAGGCGAGTGACCTTCACACCTGCTGTGCGCATGCCACTGTGTCAACAAGACACCAAAAGACCTTTTTCTTCTTGACCAGAAAATGTGTAGCTTTAAATGAGGCTTTGGTTGCTCTTCAGGACTTTTTCGCAAGGCTTCGTAAAAATAGACTGCTGCTTATCCAAAGCCGCATTTAGCTCACGGACC